TGTGACCAAGGTACATGCCCTTGAGCGGAATCGAAGCAGGGACCCTTCAGTCCTTGGGCCGACACTCTATCCACTGAGTCAAACCTGTTAGGGCCACAGCCCTCTCCTTTGGACACACAGCATAGTTTGATGATGCTGTATGTTAGGATGCTTCAGACTGCTCTTCATTGAGAAAGTATGCCTTATAGATAAAGCAAATAGGGCCAAATGTTAAGAGTTAATGACTTAGGTGGAGGATGCATTAATATTCATTATACCATTCTCTTAACTTTTTTGCATATTGAAAATTTTCATAATAAACAGTTGGCAAAAAGCTATGTAGTCAGGAGAAATCAAATTATTAGTGAGCAGAACACATTGGGATGAGGGGAATGGAAACTTCATTTAGGTGTCAATCTGTGTCCAAATATCCTGCTACTAGATATTGTAAAACTTATGAGTAATTAAACATTGGCTTTGAAGCTATACTAGGGAGAGTTAGTGAAACTGCAAACTCTCTGGGAGAGTGGAGTGAGCTTTTTTCATCAAAATTTTCCTTAACTTCAAGTGCTTCATGTACCTGGGGTCCCATAGCATGGCACATGGTAACTGTCTTTTGTCAGGTAAAGAATAAAGAATTTTTTCATTGAATTTTTTCTACATAAAGGAGGGACGAGTGTCTCCTCCTTTCAGAATGACCAGAGGCAGGCCACATGCCTCTACTGTTACTTCTGTACAGAATCTGGACAAAATATGACAGAACTCCCCAAGGGAAAAATAATGGACAAATCATAAAAGATGTCAGCTTCTTTCCTCATAGCAGATTTTGAGAAGGACATAACACAAGATAATGTAGGGTTACAAGATCCCCTTTAAGAAATAGAGAAAAGATGTCTTTGAGAGGGAAACACTGTAGAAATGACATTCTGGGACCAGGAGACATATATTATTTCATAATTTTGAAGTTTAAGATAGAAGAAAGTTAATCTTTATTATATGTTTGATCTATAATAATAAAAGCGTAATATGCAAATCAACCTAACGACCGAACAGCAGAGCAACCATCTGACGACCTTCTGGAAAACCACACTATGACACCCACTGGCACCAGGCCAGCCAAGTCGGGTGCGATGCAATTGGTCAGGGGCCTGGCCATTGCCACATGATCGCCCAGCAGAGGGAGGCCCAGGTCACCAGCTGGCAGGGGGATTGATCAATCGGGGGCTCCACAGTGGCCCCAAAAAGGGAGGCCTAGGCTCTCCCACAGCAGCACTGTGGCAGGTGGGCAGGGCCTACCTCTTTGGGATGATTGATCACAAGGCTCCCAGACTGAGAGGGTCCCCCTCCTCCTGAGTGCACGAATTTCATGCACCAGTCTTCTAGTATATGTTAGAAACAATGGCTAGTAAACTATGGCCTGTGGGCCAAATCTAACCTGTTGTCTATTTTTGTATGACTAAGGAAATAAGAATGATTTTTAAATTTTTAAATGTTGAAAAGATCATAAGCCTTTTCATGAGAACAGCTGTTCAAGAATTGAGGACATTGCGACTTGGTCTACATCACCTAAAATATATACTATTTGTCTCTACAGAGAAAGATTGCCATCCCCCATTGTGAACTCTATTAAATACTCTGAGTGCATTATCACATTTAATCTTTGCAGCACTCCTAGGATGCAGGCACATTGCTTTCCTCAGTTTATAAAGGAGGGGAAGTAGGCTCAGCAAATTGAAGTAACTCAGTTAACATCAGAAAACAAGTATATGGCCAAGTTGGAGTTTGAACCTGGAACCAATAGTGTGTGTGTGTGTGTGTGTGTGGATAGATAGATAGATAGATAGATAGATAGAGCTAGGACAATGGGCCAGTTAGAGAATTCACCAGGTCACCAGGGTGGAACATTCTAGGCACCTAGCAATGAGAAAGAACTGGTAGAGCAGTTACTTGAGATATTTGAGACCTTACCCCTAAGACCCCCTCTCCACCTTAGAATGCCTTTAGTCATGCAGGTCAGATTCTTCTGATCTTTTCTCCCCTGGCATGTGGTTAGTTATGTGCTAGATCCCCACCCTTAGAGGAGAACAAGGAGGAAAACCCTATCTAACTTCCATGCAAGGACAGAAGATGACAGGACAGGCCCTGATAGGTCATTTTGAAGAAGAAAGCAGTTAACTGCCCTCCAAGGGTTCAAAAGGAGCCCTAGCCCACTCCCCAGGACAGCTCTTTGAACCTCCCACTTGACATTTCTCTTTGCTTGCCCAAATAAATTTTCTCTAGTGAGTTTGAGTCTTGGCTCTGAATTCTTTTCTTAGCCGGAACTCAAGTACCAAGGTTGGTAAACCCAGGTTTGATCTGACCCCACGGGTCAGACACCTGGTGCCATTCCTGCCACCTACAACAGATAGAGATTTTAAAGAATTGGCTCATGTGCCCTAGCTGGTTTGGCTCAGTGGATAGAGTGAAGGATCCTGGGTTTGATTCTTGTCAAGGGCAAATGCCCAGGTCACCGGCTTGATTTTCAGTGTGGGGCATACTGGAAGTAGCCAATCAGTGATTCTTTCTCTCATCATTGATGTTTCTATCTCTCTCTCTCCCTCTCCTTACCTCTCTGAAATCAATAAAAAATATATTTTAAAAAACTGGCTCATGTGATTATGGAGACTGGCAATAGTAAAATCTGCAGAGGGTGTGCCAAAGTCTGGAGAACCAGGGAGCCAAAACTGCAGTTCAAGTCTGAAGGCTGCCTGCTGGCAGAATTCGTTCTCTTCAATGGAAGTCAATGTTTTGTTCCATTCAGACTTTCAATCCATTGGATGAGGCCCATCCACATTATGGGGGGCAATCTGCTTTACTCAAAGTCCACTGATTAAATAGTAATCTCATAAACAAACAAACAAAAAAACAAAAAAACCCTCACAGAAACATCCACAAAAATGTTTGATGAATTAAGTTGTGTAAAATGAACTATCACATTGGCTCCATCAGACTGTAAGAACACTTGTGTAAGCCCCACACTAAAAGTCTTTTGGATTGTGTAAAAAAAATGACAAAATAAAGGATTGTCTCTTAAATATGAATTGAAATGTCTACCAGCTTCCCTTATCCTTGCCTGAGTGAAATGAGTTTTAATTCAGAAGTTCCAGAAAAGTTACTACTCCCAGAAATGTGTCAAGAGAATCAAGTGGAACTAATTTTTATTGTTTTTTTTGTTTGTTTGTTTTTATGCCTTAGGACTATTTGAGCACCTTTCCTGTACTTTCTCCATGTAGAAAATAAATACATAGTCTTGGTGCAACTCAGATTGAAAAATTACATTTAGGAAAATCCAACTTTGTAAAAAGGATCCCAATACTCTATGCTTGTTTATTTCTCTTATCTATTTCTCTAAATCTATAAAGGTAGATTTATAAAGGGAAGCATAAATATTCCTAGAAATCACCTGGCAATTAATACATACTAACCACTATTTTAAAATAAAATTTTAATGCATAGAAATATAGCATTTTAATGTTTCTTATGAAGGCCATATAAAGCTAATTTACAATAACTAAATTATTTTAAAAGCCTATTTCACATTTTCTAGAATGCAGAGCCTTAAGGAACCATTCATAATGCCTCATTTACCCTGCTTTCTTGCCATTGTTATGCAGATGAGGAGATAAACTAGCAGTCCGGACAAGGTTCTGAGTATCTGCTGATTGGCAGCCCAAGGGCATTCTCTTTGATCAAACCACCTACCTGGCCCACCATTCCTTTATACCCCTTTGTTCAAGTCATAAGGTCATCTCAGAAAATGGAACTGAATAAAACATCAGGAATTATATGAGGTGATACTGAAAATGTAAGGGTCTGGGTAATTGTGTTTAGCAAATTTTAACAGTGGTAATATATCAAGATTTTAATTTGCTTGGTGATGTATCTGTTCACCCATAAGGTGTTTTCCGGTTTGAGTTTGGTATGATTTACATTACTGGTGTTCACTGTGATTTCATACCTAATGTATTTACAGAAATTCAGGAGCAGGTGTTTGTGATTCAGCAATGTCTCAGCATCTAATTCAGTATGCAAGTTAGTAGGTCATGTATCATATTTATAGGAACTCTGTTACATTCATAATAGGGTGAATTTTTACCCTGGGCAAAATCTTAAAGTTTATCAGAGAAATTATGTATTCATGGCCAAGTACATGAAAGTTTATCATTCTGAATTTAAATTTCTTTTTTTTCCTCTCCTTTTTTTTTAAAAAAAAATCATCTCACTATTTGAAAAGTAAAACATTAAATAGCTCTTCTTTTTAAATTTCCAGTTTTGTTTTCCAGTACCCGGTGGTGGGAGGTAATGATTAAGTGTTTGGAAGAGATCTTAAGTGGAAAAATCTTCTTGGCATCTTAGGACACTGAGTGAGGTCTAAGAAATGCTGGTGGATGTGGGATAAAGAGCTGGTTGAGTCTTCTGGCTCTTAGACCTTGTTCTTGCTTCAGGGCTGCCAACAAGATGCTAAAATATAGGTATTGTTATCCCTGGCCTCGGGGAGATGCATCAAGGCTTAAACTTGATTTAAGTACATAACACCTGGAAGTATTTTTATCCTTTTTACTTCAGGCTGGATTTGAACTGCTAACTTGGAGCTCTACAGCCCAGATCCAATCCTTGGAATCAATCATGCTCCTTCTGTATACAGTTTCCTCTGTGCTGGTGTCTGAGATGGATGTTAAATGTTCCTGAGGAAAAACATGATGTTTCTGTAGGCATTGATGGCCATATTGACATGCTGTAGATTGACTAGAGCTCTTCTATTTTATTAAAATAGAGTGAAAATTAGCTTTAATAGCATAAACAGAAAGCCATGATCTGTACAAAGAGGGGACAGTTTGATTATACATTTCTGCACAAAAGAAACAGATACTTTTTTTTAAAGAGGCTTGCCAGCACCACTATTCATAAATGTGTGTTCAACAGATAGTCTAATTGCCTCATTTATAGTAGTAGGACATGCGGTTTCCTTTCACATTATTTACCCACCCGCTGAGTTTTGGAGGAGACAGTGAGACTGCTTTTCAATCCTGAAGGCTGCTTCTCTTAAACATTGCTTCTGTCTCCATGACAAGTATTTTATTGTCACTTCTGACTGGATTTATATTTTGTTCAGTCAGTTGTCTGTCTTCACAGAGTTCATGAGTTTCAGCAAAGGTTCTGAAAATATTTTTTAAACCCTTTAGTTATTATGGCTCTTCAAAAACCAAGTGGTGGGAGACATATGTAATACTCTTTGTAATACTTTAAGCAATAAAAAAAAAATCAAGTGGTGTGTTCTATATTCCTTTATGAGTGAATAAGACAAACAAACTGGGAAAACAATTCTGTGGCTTTTCCTGTGCATTGAACTACAATCATTTACATCTGTATAGGGTTTACTTTTCATGCATATCTATTCATAAGATTGTTACAGTACTTGGTTAGATAGTTAAGGCAGACTTCATTCACATATTTATTAAGCAGTGATATGTCAGGCATTAGGCTAGGTTCCAAATGAATAGGTCATAAGAGTAGAGCCCTTATTAATGAGATTAGTGCTTTCATAAAGGAGATTTCTTGCCCTTTCTGCCTTGTGAGGACACAATAATAAGATGACTGTGTATGAACCAGGAAGAGGATTCTCACTAGATACCAACCTGCCAGCACCTTGATCTTGGACTTCTCAGTCTCCAGAACTATGAGAAATAAATCTCTGTTGTTTATAAGCCACCCAGTCTTTGGCTTTCTCTTATAGCAGTCTGAATGGACTAAGACACTTTCAAGACATATATTTTATTTTTATTTTCTATTGCACTGCTTAGCACCTCCAGTAAATGACAGTGATAATTCACATCCTTTTTAAAAATATGCTTTTATTGATGTTTTTATTTTAGAGAGGGAGGAAGCAAGAGGGAGAGATAGAAACATGGATGAGAAACATTGATTGGCTGCCTCCTGCATGCCTCCTGCTGGGGATTAAGATAGCAACTTGGGCATGTGTCCTGAAGGGGAATTGAACTGGTGACCTCTTGGTGCATGGGAAGATGCTCAACCAACTGGGCCACACTGGCTGTGCACTAACATTCTTGTTTTGTTCCTAATCTTAGGTAGGAAGAAAGTTTTGAATATGTCACTAATTAAATATGACTTTTTTATAGGAGTTTTCCATAACATATACTAGAGGCCCAGTGCATGAAACTTGTTCACTGGGGCGATGTGTCCCTCAGCCCAGCCTGCACCCTCTCCAATCTGGGAACCCTGTGGGATCGGGCCTAAACCGGCAGTTGGACATCCCTCTCACAATCCGGGACTGTTGGCTCCCAACCGCTTGCCTGCCTGTCTGCCTGATTGCTCCTAACCGCTTCTGCCTACCAGCCTGATCACCCCCTAAACACTTCCCTGCCAGCCTGATCGCCCCTAACTGCCCTCCCCTGCTGACCTGATTGCCCATAACTGCCCTCCCCTGTCAGCCATCTTGTGGTGGCCATCTTGTGATGACATGGGCGCAGCCATCTCATGACCACATGGGTGTGGCCATCTTGTGACCACATAGGCGTGGCCATCTTGTGACTGCATGAGGGTGGCTATCTTGTGCAAGGGTGTGACAGTCAATTTGCATATTACCTCTTTATTATATAGGATATTCAGGTTAAAGATGGTCCCTTCTAGTATTTTTTATTAAGAGGAGCAGGTAAAAGTTGGCAAGAAGTTCTGGAAATGCTATCCCAGTATGGCTCCCTTCTGGACTGTGGCACATGGGGGATCAGGGAATTTTCCCATAGCGAAGAAGAAGAGGAGAGAGGGCTTAGCAGGGATAGACAAAATAATTTATTCCCTTTCTCTGCTCTCTGAGTCACATTTCTTCTACCAGCAGCCTCTCAAGAGGTCTGACTCCTCTCAACATTCTTGTATTTTTTTCTCCTTAATTTCTACTGTAGATTGCAGTTTACGTGTGCTCTTGATGAAATGAACAGAGAGGCATTCTTCCAGCCACATCGCTGTCCCTGTTAAGCAACTAGGAAACAACTTTTAATTTACAGTGTGGGTGACCAGCTCAGCTAGTGCTGTCCCAGAAGCTGTTTGCAGCAGACGCCTGTTGACCTCACATCCAGGGCAGTAAGATAAGCTCTGGTGCTTCACAGCTCCCTCTGGAACTTTCTGCCCCAACCCCTCACATCTCCTAGTAACAGCTGTGCTGCTGGAGGCTCAGTGATTAACAAAGTATCAAATTATTCCCCTGGAATCCTCTAGAATTGCCTCTCCTGGGGTACCTGATGGATCTCTGCTTCAGAGATGGTTTATCAGTACATCAGGTAATAACTTGCTCTTTTGTCTCCGTTCTCCTGGGTACATTTTAGAGGGGAAAAATCTCCAGGTCATGTGATAGGTGTTTTATCCTTGTTAACACAAGCACCTGGTAATGAATCTTTAAATTATTAGCTGCATGCTGAACCAGCCCCATTCCTGGTTTTGCTTTGAGGCCCTATAACTCCACATTTGCTTTAGCTTTCTTATGAAAGCTTGAGATTATTTATTTTCTCTGTGTATATTCTTGGCATATTTCTGCCTAGAGGAAGAGCAAAATCAATAAGTCCTACAGTTTTATTAAGTTTCTTAAAGAGCAGGATATCTGATCTGTTGCTGGAGTTGGTTAATCACCATCCTGTACAAATTAATCTTTGGATGGTGGTTTTTCCTGCATCTTCTTTTTCCAGTTGTTATTAATAATAGTGTTTTTTGATAACCTTACTCAAAGAATAATTTTTGCTCCTAATGCCTTTTGATGTAGCCCAAAGCAGCCAAAAAGGTAAAGAATATTTTCTTACACACACATTTTTTTGCTTTTTAGCTTGTCATATACTACTGTTCAATTTCTCTTCTGTTTCGTCCTATGGGTCCAGTTTTGACAACTTTAGCTGCCACTGAGCCAGTACCAATTTACAATAAAAGTCAAGTGAGATCACATGACATGTGTCGAATTTCATTTGAATATGGCCAGTCATGTACATAAGGCTTGGGATAAACTGCAGCTGGCTGTCACAAAGCACTGGGCTCTGCTGGAAAAGAGCATCCAGCAGCTTGGACAAACCCTTCATCCTTAACCAGACTCTCAGTGCTGCCTGGAGTCATTCTCCATGAAGCTAGTCAGGTACTTCTCCCTTTTGTCTCAGCAGCTATTCCAAACTTTCAATATTCTGCAGATTACTTCCTCTGCCCCATCCTCTCCTGCTCTCAGCATATGGCTTTGCCTTCTTATTCTTTTGGAAAAACAAGAAATAACTCCCCCACCCCCACAGTCCCAAACAAAAAATAAACACGTATTTCCAATAGGACACATGCTTTCACAGTGTTTCCTATCTTCTGTAAAAGACTGTCCCCCTGCTGCCAAAGTCTAATTCATCTACCCAACCAACCACCTTCATTGAAGTTTGTCTCTGACTTGACAGAGACCCAGGGCCATTAGCCATCCAGTTTGTATTCTGTTTACTCCATTCAAGGTATAAACATGCCTTTAAAAATATATCTGCTGACCATCACCCTTTAGCTACTGTTGTATATCTCTTTTCCTTTGGAGTCAGACTTCTTGAAGAACTATATATATTTCTCATCCTCAACTGATGCTGATTTATCTTCTGTTCCTAGAACAGCAATGAAATGATTTCCACCAATTAACTTCATTATTAAATCCAGTGGATATATTTCTTCT